CTGTTGGTGGTGCATGCTTCGCCTCTCTGTGCCCCAGTTTCCTTGTCTTTAGGAAGAGGACAGGGCTGTGGCCTCCCTCTGGCCTGCGTGTGGCAGTAAGGCAATGCCTAGCAGCCTTGTAATTGGTCGGCTTTGGCCTTTGATGGGACACTCAACCAGCAAGGAGCAGCTGGAATGTATCTGTGGCGTTCAGAAAGGGAGGTGAGGACTGCATTCCAAACAGCGGGCAACTATTGCAAGTCCAGGGTCGTGTCAAAAAGGAAAGGTAATTGTCAGTACATGGACGAGGCGCATACAAGCGTCGCATATTTTTAGTACAATAAGTTTGTCTTTCTTCAGCTTGGGAATTGTCAGAAGCAAAATGATTTTGTCGTGCTGTGCTGTGACACGCCCCAGAGCAGCATGAGGCGGAAAGTGGCCGCCGCATGTGCAGATGCGGCCACCGTTGTGTCTGTATTACGCATGTCTTCGCGTGTTCTAGAGTCTTTGAGAATTGCACACACATGTCAGGCACACAGTGGTGGAGCCACGCACGAGGCAGGAGCCAGCTCCTCCCAAGAAGACTGCATACGTATGCATGTGGGGGCCCTTCTGAGACCCACACACCGACCTCACCTATTCCTCAGTGGGGTGAATGTTCCCAGGGGTTTCCCTGACTTCGAGTAATGGAGTCTGTAGTGCGGCTTGCTGACCTCGGGCAGGGACGGAGCAGCTCAGGCTGGGCTCGCTGGGAAGTGCTGATGCGTCAGCAATGTCTGCTCTTAGAACAGGAGTGGCAGGTGCTAGCACAGAGGCCATCGCTGGCTTCGCCACCTGGTGATGCTTAACCAGGCTCCAGTTAGCCGGGGCTGCCACCTCACACCGAGGAGGACTCCTAGGAATTGATCCTGCGTCTGTGTCCACGCCCTGGCCTGCGTCTGACTCCGGGGCAGAAGATGGGGAACAGTTTAAATGTCTGTCCAAGGACACTGAGTACTATGTCTTGTCCATGTCGTGGAATTCTGTGAAGCATAGGAAACGTTCAAGGTGGGATCTTTTTTTTTTTTTTTTGAGACAGAGTCTTGCTGTTTCGACCAGGCTAAAGTGCAGTGACGCAATCACAGCTCATGCAGCCTCGTCCTCCTGGGCTCAGGGGACAGGTGGTCTTCATGTGCTGGTAGAGGGCAGTCTTTGAGATATTTGGGAGGAAAGGGACTGTGTGGAGTAGCGAGAGCGGAATGTGTCAGCTGTGTGCAGGGTGGGGAGGGGAGTGCATGGGTTCCATGCAAGACGCTTCTAGAAGGAGCAGAGCTGGCCTCTGGGCAGGAGGAGCCAGGGGTTCCTCTTACAAAATTAAAAAGGTTACAAAAGTCTTTGTAGTTAGCCAGGACAACCACAAGGACACTGGAGGTCTTTCCTGCCCAGTGTGGGGTGAGCTGGCCCCCAGCAGTGAGCCTCAGAGCCCCAGGCCCTCTCTGTTTGGCTTTCAGGGCTCCACACAGGTTGTCACTGGGGAGAGACAGTTCTGCTCTGAAAGCCCCTCACCTAGGGTTTTGCCTGGCAGCCCCAGCCCTTCCCCTACTCTCTGTGGCCTCTGGGACCCCAGTCGTTCCCAGTCCCCAGTTCTCATCCTCACTCCCTCACCTACCCAGTCAGGACCCCACAGTGGGGTTTCGACAGCCCCAGGCCCCATCCTTGGTGCCTGGCTGTGCCCTGGGCTCTCCAAGCCAAGCCCCGTGTCCCTCATCAGTCCCTGCCTGCCAAACCCAGTTTCTCTGGTCACCCGCGTGCTTGATCACCATGGTCGCAGCTTCCGTGCCTCTTGGATTTGTCTCCCTGTGGTTGCTGGGCTTGGCCCTGGCATCAGCCAGGCTGACGGATACACGTTGGGGCTCTCCTCGGAGCCTGAGACCACAGGGATGACCACACAGAGAGGGAGAGGGCGGCCTGGGTGTCCCAGCTGCTTCAGCAGTGAGCCCAGCCAAGCCCAGCAGAAGACCCTCCCAGCCAGCCGAGAAAGCTGAGAACTGAGAAATCACGTCTCAGCCACACGGCTCTGGGAGGTTTGTTGTGCATTGGGTAACAAATATGCCCAGCCTCATTGTGGTCTTGGTCCAGCCAGCCTCTGCAGTGAGCACAGGCTTCGGCTGAGAAAGTCACCCCCACTCTGGGCACAGGACTCCTGTTCCTGCAGCAGCCCCCATTCCCCTCTTCTCCAGCTTTCTGTATCTGTGTTTATGAAAATCTTTAAGACAAGCATTCACTCACGGTATCATCTACAAAGTGATCTTAAAGAGGCCTGAAAGCGGTCTGGATTGCTGGGCCTGGTAATGGGCCCACCCGAGTCTCCTCTCCGGGTGTGTGCCTCTAACACTATGCTGGACAAGGAAACCGCTCACTCAGCCTGGAGCATTGAAGATCTTCTGTATTTACTGCTGTCTTCTGCAGACACTGTTTCCCAGCTTCCTGATGTGCACTCGTGTGCTTTTCTGTGCGGCGAGACACAGCTCTCCCCACCCCTGGAGGCTGAGCTTCTACAGGTTCAGATTCTCCACACACCAGGGAGAGGAGACTCAGGTGGGCCCATCACCAACCCCAGCAATCCAGACTCACTTCAGGCCCCTTTAAGGTCACTTTGCAGACGATACTGTGAGTAAATGCTTGTCTCAGAGGTTTTCATCAACAGACAAGTAAGAAACTGGAAATCAGCACACTCCAGAGCAGGGGCCACAGCGGCCTGTCAGCACATTTCCCTCCGGTCGGGGTCTTTTGCTTTGGATTTTATGCTCACCAAAGCCATGGGTGCACGTCAGGAGTCAGGAAACGCCGTGGGCATGTGCGTCAGTCATTCACACTGCTGTGAAGATGTACCTGAGACTGGTTAATTTATAAAGGAAAGAGGCTTCATTGACTCAGAGTTCTGCGGGGCTGGGGAGGCCCCAGGAAACTTAGAATCATGGCAGGAGGGGAAGCAAGGGACCTTCTTCACAAGGCGGCGGGAAGGAGAAGCACAAGCAGGGGAATTGCCAGGCGCATAGAAAACCATCAGATCTCGTGAGAACTCACCGCTGTCATGAGAATTGTATCAGGGAAACTGCTCCCATTATCCATCCAATTGCTTCCCACTGGGTTCTTCCCACGACACGTGGGGCTTATGGGAACTGCAATTCAAGATGGGATTTGGGTGAGGACACAGCCTGACCATATCAGGGTCACCAGATAACGTCTGCCCTCCCTGCTGCGCTCCCACGCTCCCCACACTTGGATCCGTCAGAGTGGCTTTCTCTGGGGATGGCTCTCCTCTGCTGTCGACGTGGTGGTCATGAACGTCTTGCTTGCTGCTGAGCTGTGCAGGACCGTGTGACTGCTTTTCCTGCCTGGCTTTGGTTTTCCCTGGAGTTGTTGTTTTTCTTTTTGATCGCTTGTCACTAGTGTAACTCCTCCTTGGCTCAGATACTCTTTCGGGTGTCAGGTCTCAGGGCTGCTTTCCTTGGGCCTCCCTCCATTGGCCGAATTCCTTTGGCTTCTCTTGGGTTGGGTCTCGGATCTTCTCCTCCTGGGATTTGCTCCCTTGGTTTGGGGAGGAGGCGCATCATTGCACGGGTGTTTGGGATGTACCCCTTTAAGCAGAATTCCCACACTCCCTTCACCTGACTGCCCGCATGTTAACACCACCTCGTTTGCTGTCCTCTCCCCTCTTCTGTCCTGTGGACATACGTTATTTTTTCCTGAAGAGTTTGAGAATGAGTTGTAGACTTGGTGCTCCTCTATCCCAGATCCTTGAGTGTGACGTTGCTGCCAACAAGGACCTGACACTCACCGTACAAAAGTTGAAAAGGGGGCGATGACGCGGCAGCAGCTGCTGTCTGAGCTGACTCACTCTGACTTCCCGGTGGTCCCGGTAATGGCCTTTGAGGACATCATTAAGGATTGTGGAAGGACCCCGGGACCAGGTCTGTCAAGTCTCCCGGTTGAGAATCACCTTTCTGCCTTGTCTCTGATGACGCCGACGTCTTTGAAGAATGCTGGCGTCATCGCGTGCCCTCGGTTTGGGTACGAGGTATGTTTTCCTAACTTGTGGGTCCAAAAGTGCATCCATTCTCCCTTCACGCCTGGTTGGGGTTTCGGCTGACTAGAATTTCTGCACAGAAGTCTCCCTCAGGATCAGACCACAGCCCTTCCAGAAGCTTCTGCAGCAAGTTCCTCTCTCCTCCAGAGCCTCCTCAGGCCTGGCCATCGGTCCCTCAGAGGTCACCATTGGGCCTGCGTCATCTCGCCTTGGGGCGTTTCTTGGTGTTGGGCACAGCTCCTTCAGAAGTCTCCGTGGGGTCGTCATCCCTGCCCTCCCGTGTCCCGTGTGGGAGGCCCCGGGCCGTCGGAAGTCACTGTCCTCATGAGGTCATCACCCCTGCAGTCCTCTGTGCTGTCAGAATTCACTCTCCTTCACAGGGGGGTTGCCCGTGCCATCCCGTGTCCCGTGTGGGAGGCGCCGTGCCGTTGGAAGTCACTGTCCTCACAGTGGCCCATGCCTCTCACTTGGCGATCTGTCTGTCTTCTCGGTGGATCTGTCCTGCTTTCTGGGACCCCTCCTCAACTTCATTTCCCACCCTTCTGTTGAGTTGTGTTTTGGCTAACACGGTTTTCCCCTGCACAGCTCTTCTCCCTCTGTGGTTTCTAACCAGCATCATCTTTTCAGGGCTCCAGTGACCTGCATCACTGCACTGGCCGACTTCATGAGGATATTACAATAGGTTTTGTTGGATTTTTTTTTGAAGTTTCAGGCCAGGTGCAATGGCTCATGCCTGTAACGAGCACTTGGGGAGGCAGAGGTGGGTGGATCACTTGAGCCTAGGAGTTTGAGACTAGCCTGGGCAACACAGGGAGACCCCTCTCTACAACCAAAAAAAAAGCATTAGCCAGGCATGGTGGCACGCGCCTATAGTCTCAGCTACTTGGGAGGCAGAGGTAGGAGGATCACTTGAGCCTGACAGGCGGAGGTTGCAGTGAGCCAAGATTGCGCCACCCCGTTCCAGCCTGGGTGACAGAGCAGACGCTGTCTCAGAAGAAAAGCAAATAGAAAAAAAGTTTCCGTCTTGCATAATCTTCATCTCTGGATTTTGGCCTCTGTGGCTGGTTTTGGCCTTTGTCTCTCAAATGTCAGGCTCCCATGACAGACAGGTGCTGCACAGCTGTGGCTTCTGGGGACTGGAGGCCGGGGTGCTGCCTGGCATCCTCAGGCAGGCATGGGGCCTGTGGTTTGCTCTCAGGTGCTCATTCCCTTCTGTGCCTGAGCGTTTTTCCTCTGGGCTGGTCACTTTCCTGGAGATGCCCCTTCTCCAACCCTCATCTGCCAGGGTCCGGGCGACCCTGAAAGGTGCCGGGATCTGAACATTCCTGAGCCTTGTGGGACTTCACAGTACAGCCTGGCTCAGGCCAGGCACCCTCGGGGGCCTGGGGGGCCCTGATTCGGTTGTCACTCATCCTTGTGCTTTTCAGCTTCCAAACTCCTGCTGCTGCCAAGACGTGCCCTGCTCTCCCTGTCCTTAGAAGGCCACGCCAGTTCCATCCTTGGCCACCGGCTGGGGCCAGGGGCTTGGGCATCAGTCTTTCGCCTTTGGTTCTGCCTGTCTTGTCCTTTTTAAAATGGATATGTGTTTAACATACGTGAGAAAGTTCTCTGTATCTAGCGTTTTAAAAACCCACACCAATGCCTTGTTTCCTCATGCGTGCTTGAACTCCATGGCACTGCCCTGGCTGGTGCACACGCGCAGGGCTCTGCTTAGTGAAGTTGGGTGTGGCTTGCACCCCTGACGCATCGCGGCCCAGTGCTAGGAGTCCTGCTGAAATGCCCGCCGTGTCTATTTTGTGTCTCTGGAGACAATCTCTGCCTAGGGGTTAGGAGTCAAGGAGGGGAAGCCCTTTAAAGGGGAAGGAAGGAAGTTCATAGTTGTCCCCTTCCTTCGGTTCATCTGGAGGCAGAGCCATCTGGAATGCCAATGCCCTCACCTGCCCACAGGTAAGCCTGGCCCCCAGCGCCCCCTGGGTGCTCCCCGCCCCAGAAGAGCTTCTGGGCCCGCTGGGCTCAGCTGAATGCTGGGCACCTTGTCCCCAGCAGGGTGAAAAAGGGAAAGAGTGGAAGGTATAACTTAAAAAACAGAACAGGACTCCTGAAATCATGGAGACGGGCCGAGGAGGAAGCTGAGTAGAGGACAGTTGCTCGGCTGGGGCTGTGGGTCTGGGCTCTGCCCTGGGAGGGGGCCCGGCTGGGCTCTGTCCATCGTGGACTCCCTGCGTGTGTATGGGTTTGGCTCCCAAGGTCAAATGGCAGTTAAAGGGGCCACGTTGTAGGGTGGAAACATGGCTGGGTTGTCCCAGGGCCCTAGGCAGGCAGATGGGCCCCTCCTCCCCTCACCGTAGGGTCCACTGCTCCAGGCCCTGCAGGGCTGAGATGACCTGGCATGGTTTAGTGGAGACAAAAGACACCGCTTTTTCCTTGGGTGCGAACCTCTGAGCAAAGGCCATTTTATGGAAAGCAGCAGGTGTGGTGGGCTCAGTCCTGCACCCCACTGCAGGCAGAGGCGGCTGGTCACAGGGCGGGTGTCCCCTCTTCTCATCTCCTCAGTCCCCTCCCACACCCCCTCTCTCCTCCTCCGCCTCCCATGGGTCTCCACCGACTGCCCAGTGCTGCCCCCAGGTGGACGCCTAGGAAGAGAGCTCTCCTGCGCCTGCTCCCCGTGGCCCGCTGCATCCTGTGTGATGTTGCAGGCTGCCGCCTGGCCCCAACCCCTGTTCCTCTGCTGCCGCTTGCCCCCAGCTTCTGCCAGCCACCGGACTCAGCAAGTCCTGAGCACGCGCAGGTCTGTGGATGCAAAACCTTGGGCTGCTGGATTTGGGGAGTGCTCCAGAACCCTCCTGGAGCCACATGAGCACGTCCAGGAGGCCCTTTGGGAAAGAAACCTGGGCAATCTGTGGGCCAGCCCCGTGCTGCTCAGGTGTGGCCAGGCACGTGGGCCACCAGGTCAGAGACAGGCTGAGGCCCTGCATCTGACGGGTTCCTGGCAGTGCCGATCTTGAGTGCGGACTGTGCTTAGAAGAGCCCCCGCCTGGCCGTCCCTCCACCAGAAGAGCCCCCGCCTGGCCGTCCCTCCACCAGAAGAGCCCCCGCCTGGCCGTCCCTCCACCAGAAGCCTCCATTTTGCCAGTTCTAGGAGCACATGGCGCCTCCACAGAGACCCCTGGCCCAGCTCTGCAAGGCCCACATCTGACCAATCACCTGAGTCACTTGAGACTGGTTTAATCTGGTTTTGGGGTCATGACCCTGTCCATGCACACACACTTTCTGTGTAAGACACACAAGGTTTGAGACGTGGAGCCGGCCTTCTCTGTGTGGCCTGCGGGCCAATCCTGCCATTCTGCTGCATTTCAGCGCAGCTGGTGGGGACTCCCTGGGGGTGAGGACTGCGGGTCGCCAGCCCCAGGTGTACGTCATGCCTGGCCTACCCACCCTTCCTGCCCCCACACTGGCCTGTGTGTGTGTGTGTGTGGTTTCGTCCACGCGTGGTGCCTTCCCTGCCCCCCTCCTCCCCCACCCTGGTTGGCAGCAGCCCCTGCAGGAAATCTCAATGCCCCACCTGGGAGTGCCCTGGACCCCTGACCCTGTGTGGTGTGATTTGAGGCTACCCCTCCAGCTGGAGGCTCCAGAGCCGCGTGTGGGGTGCCTGCAGGATCCCAACATTTTTGCTGTCTACTTGGCTGACCTGGCTGCACAGACGCTCCGCTGTCAAGGGCCCTGGCAGCTGGAGGGCTCTTCAGGGTGGGGGTTGCTGCGGGCACAGGGCCTCTATTTTCATTTGTGGGCTGAGCTGGCTCTGCAGCTCACGGGTGACATCCTTAGCACAGGGATGTGGTCGGCATTTGGTCCGTGGTGGCGGTGGCAATGCGTGTAATGACAGTTTCATACACAGGCGCGGTATCCACACCGGCACTGCCGTCCAAATCTGGAAATTTCAAGTGCTCCAAAATTCAGAAAGCTTTGAGTGCCAACGTGATGGTCAAAGGAAATGCTCACTGGAGCATTTTCGATTTTGGATTTTCGGGTTAGGGATGCCAAACCAGTGAGTCTAATACAGATGTCCCCAATTGGAAAAATATGAAATCTGACGTGTTTCACGTAAGGGACACTCAGCCTATATGAAAAAGAGATGCACAGTGATGGCGCTTCATCCCAAGGGTCAGGCACAGTGTCCGCTCACGCTCTCTCTGCAGATGCTGGACGAGAACCACCACCTGATCCAGTGCATCCTGGAGTACCAGAGCAAGGGCAAGACAGCCGAGTGCACGCAGTGAGTGCCCCCGCCACACGTGGGAACGCTTGGGGGGTCACGCAGAGTGCACGCAGTGAGTGCCCCTGCCACACGTGGGAACACTTTGGGGGTCACGCAGGGTGCACGGTGAGTGCCCCGGCCACACGTGGGAACGCTTGGGGGGTCACGCAGAGTGCACACTGTGAGTACTCCCGGCCACACGTGGGAACGCTTGGGGG